GACTAAACACTTACATAATGTATTAATTAGGGAAACAGACCCTTAACAAAGCTAATTTAAAAAAGAATTTGAGTTAGGCAAAAACCATCTTAGATACAACATCAAAAGCATAAGGAACAACAACCAAAAAGTAGATAAATTGTATTTCATCAAAGTTAAAATCTTTTGTGATTCAAAGCATTTTTTGTGTGTGTGTGCTTCAAAGTTAAAATCTTCATGTGTCAAGAAAGTGATAAAACAACCCACAGAAAGGTAAAAAATGTTTATAAATCATATAACTAGACTATATAAATATCACATTTAGAATACATAAAGACTATTATAACTCAATAACAAAAAGACAAATAACCCTATTAAAAACTGGTCAAAGGATCTGAATAGACATTTCTCCAAAAAAGATATACAAATGGCTAACATGCACATATAAATGTTGTCTATGTCACTCTCACTAGGGAAATGCAAATCAAAACCACAATAAGATGCCATTTCATAAAACTTGTAGGGCTATAATCAAATCAACAACAGAAAGACTGTCAAAAAGACAAGTGTTGAAGAGGATGTAGAGAAACCAGAATGTTCATATACTACTGGTAGAGATTTTTTTGGTAAACAGTCTCACAGTACTTCAAAAAGTAAAATACAGTGTTAACATATATGACCTGGCAATTACATTCCTAGCTACACATGTAAGGGAAACGAAAACTTATATTCAAACAAAAACTTGTACCTGAATGTTCATAGCAGCATTATATGTAACAGCTAAAAAGTAGAAACAACCCAAATGTCCATCAACAGATGAAGGATAAAAAGTGATATATCGGTGAACGGGATTGCGCATTTTATTGCACCGAGTAATGCGGTGTCGCCGGCGGCCGAGGAGGGCGGAGAGTTCTGCGATGAAATAGGGGGAAGTATTCATGTAGGCATTGGAGGGATCCTTACTCTGAACTATAAGGTGGGAAGCTGATACTGGGTACAGCTTACTCCCGGACCCGCGGCGTGAAAGTTGNCTAGGGTTGGGGGACTGGACTGAAATGGGAGGTGGCTGCTAATGGATATGAGGTTTCTTTCTAGGGAGATGTTTTAAATTTGATTGTGATGATGGTTGCACTAAACTTTGTGAGTATACTGAGAATGACCAAACTGTACATTGGAAATAGATGAATTATATGGCAGGTAAATGATATGTCAATAAAGCTATTATTAAATACAGATATAAACTGAGTTTGTATAAGAAATATAGTCCTGAATATTCATTGGAAGGACCTATGGTAAAGCTGAAGCTCCAATACTTTGGCTACCTGATATGAAGAATTGATTCATTGTAAAAGACCCTGATGCTGGGAAAGATTGAAGGCAGGAGGAGAAGGGGACAACAGAGGATGAGATGGTTGGATAGCATCACCAATTCGATGGACATGAGTTTGAACAAGCTCCAAGAGTTGGTGATGGACACAGAAGCCTGGTCTGCTGCAGTCCATGGAGTCACAGACATGACTGAGCAAACTGAACTGAACTGAGTCAGACTGAACTGAACTCCAGAAACATAAATATATATGTATCTATATAAAGTTAATTTCAAAAAGTTTTCACAGTTCATGAAAAAGTAATGAAATTGGCAAATTAGATGCAAAGAATAAAACTAACATTTGAAATTTTATTTTCTACTAGAGAGAAAAGAAATAATCACACCTGTCAGATTTCTATACGTAAAATTCTAAGTGAATAGAGTTGTAAAATACAGTGAATGTAAGTAGCAAGTCAACCAAAGTTGGATGCCTCTAGGTTTGTTAGCTAATGCTCTGCATCACAGTGAATGCCACAGTCACACTTCGCTTTTCCAAGTCTTAGATACTTTTTCTTAACAAAGGTTTCCCAAGAGTATACCACGATTTTGAATCTCAGTTTTGTTAGGCAGAAAATGGCAGGTGTTTCCTCTTAGCTAAACACATGGGAATAGATCATCTAAAAGAGAAGGAATCTCAGAACTTAAGTCATAAGAAGTCACTTAACAGAAACCAAAAAACAAAGTTGACCAAGCAACCCTTAAAAGCTTTTAGGATACTTTAAAAACTATCTGTAATCATTAACTTCAACAATTATTAAGGGAAGAGAAAAGTAGTTTGAAAACTCTCACCTGATAATAAAGTTATTAAGATCCCCTTCTCCAGGGGATCTTCCTGACCCAAGTTCAATCCCTGGGTTGGAAAGATCCCCTGGAGAAGGAAATGGCAACCTATTCCAGTACGCTCGCCTGGAAAATTCCATGGACAGAGGAGTCTGGGGAGCTACAGTCCCTAGGGTCACAGAGTCAGACACAACTGAGTGACTTCACTTTCACTTTTCACTTTCATCCTTGCAAGATGGAAGCAAAGATGTTATAAAAGTTATTCAGTTTACAAATCCACTAAAAGAGGTGAAGCATTAACAAGACTTAGCTGACTGACAATCCTCTAATTGGTAAAGACAGACTCACAAAGCCAGCCAAGTCATAGCTAAATTGTACAGCTGATGAGAAGAGGGGAAAAAAAGAGAACTGGAAACAGACTAAGCTAACCCAGTTTAAAATCATCATTGTACTAGAAGTCAAACAATTATGCAAGCAGTGTACAAACTTTACTCAGGAAAGGTATTAAAGACAATTTTCTGGATGCTCAAAAGAGTCAGTTATAATGCAGCTATCTTAGAGGAATGTGAAAAGCCATTTACAGCAACTATCATTGAAAGAGTATTTTAAGTATGACACACAAGAACTAAAAGATATGTGTTTGCTTGTTCTTTTTAAGATAAATAAAATAAAGGTGTTAGGACATTCTGTTCTATCACTTTGTATTGACTGGATTGCCTGAGGAGTCACTCGGCTTTCCCAGTGGCTCAGTCGGAAAGAATCTGCCTTTAACGCAGGAGACACTGGGAAGATCCTCTGGAGAAGGAAATGGAAACCCACTCCAGTATTCCTGCCTGAAAACTTCCAAGAACAGAGGAGCCTGGCAGGCTATAGTCTGTGGGGGTCACAAGGGGTTGGACACAACTGAGTGATTGAGATAAACTTAGATAAACTCAGACAGATTCACAGACAGAAAGTCCTGGATGAAAGGTATATCAGCTGCCTCAGAAAACATATGTAAATACCTTGGAAGTGAAAGGCAGAATCTAGCAAATGACGGCCCCCAAGATCCTAATTCTGCCAGAGGTTCCACTAAAGAATTTTTTTTTTTTTTTTTTTTTCAGANTTTTTTTTTTTTTTTTTTACCACTGGCAGGAATAAAAATGCAACCTGACCACTCTGGCAGCTAAGATGGTATAGGCAGGAGGACAAGTGAGCCGGAGACCAAAGGCACCTTGTCCAGACACCAGGGACTGTGGGGCAGGCATGTGTTTGCTGATGACAGTTACAAATGAAATGATTGGTTGGTGAGTTGAGAGCAATCTATTCTAGTTCTTGTCTGTCTATCTCCTTCATGAAGCTTGGCTTTTGGAGACTGGTATGCTCAATCTCCAGATGAATAGGCTACATCCAACTATAAGGAATGACCACTTAAATTCATCAGACAAGAAAGCTTGGAGGGAGACCAAAAGAGGGCTAAGGGAAATGCAGCCATAAGCAAGAACAGGATCTGTCAAAGTTGCTTTTTTCTCTTAAAGGTAGAAAATAGCTACTGAAGGAGCTGCAGAACCTGAAACAATTTATCAATGAACTAAAAATACCCAGACAAGGAACCCTGGAGAGGTTGAAAGCCGGTGAGAGAAACCTAAAAGGGACAAGTAGATTGAAATATTAACAAAAATCTGGGTTAGAGATGTCAAGCTTAGTAAATGGACTAATTGAATCGTTTTTGAAGAATATAAGACATAAACAACAATTTATAAGTCTCTAGATTACCTCAAAGAGATAAGTCAACACTCAAGGCTGTATACCATATGGTTTCTAAAGGAGATTCAAGATTTTTTAATACAAATAGATATTGCAAGTAATGAAAACAATTGTGACACAATATTTACTATAAAAAAGGGTCAATCAAGTTGGAAGGTATCCTTTTTGAATGGAAAATATTCTTTAAAAAGAAGAAAACACTAAGAATAAAAAAGGAAAACATAAAATGCAAAGAGACTAGAAATTTACCAATTAAAACATGTGAATTAAATAAGTGAAGTAAAACAGAGATCACTGTCTGGCTTTATAAAAACAAAATCCAACAATAGTCTATACCTAAGATATACAAACCAGCTAAAATACATATGTGCTATCAGTCAAGGTTTAAGATTTATTATGTCTTTGCAAACACAAAAAAGAGAAAGTAAGTTACTAATTTGAAAATTATTAGATATTAAAAAAGTATTTAAAACTATGAAATTTTAAGAGTAGTAACCTTAATGTACAAATGTTATAGCAATATTTTCCTGAAGTAAAGTTATGAAAACTATCAAATATAATTATAACTGAGAGCCTCAGAAGTACATCACAGCAGGTTGGATAAGGAATTTAGATGAACAAAATCCACTGGTCATCATCACTTCTTACTCCACTATCCTAAATCTCTTAAGGACAAATGGTTATACATAACTGACTGTATCTTGGCAAAAATTGTTGTTGATTTCTGTTTGTTACTTTCAACTTTCCCACTGATTTCAATCTCACAAATAGTTATGATGGTCAATTAACCTCTAAATACCTCTCAGTGTATTGTTCTGTAATATTTGCCTTATGAGCCACTCACTAGATATTTATTATTAAGTGCTCAATAAAATGCTTATTGAGTAAACAAACATATACCAAGATCAGAGCAATAATAATGACAAAATTATAATAGTATTGGCAAAATGGCACCATTTATTGAAAAGAATTCCAAGTGTCTAAACAGTGGTTTCTTTTTTCCATACACCCTGGCTAGAACACAGCCTTTCTTTTCTTAAAATGCAAAGCCAATGTATTATTTAAGATTACTTAAAACAATCAGATAAATACCAAGTAAAGTTAAAAAAAATTCACTTCTACTGACCTTGTAAGAATGTAAGGCGAAAATGAAGCCGGATTATCCTGCTCTGAAAAGAGGGGCATAGATCCTCCCATTATCCACAGACGAAAGTACAGAACAACGATCACCTTTGGAGAAAGGAAGATTTGCTGAGAAAATTGTTGCTTGTTGGAAATAAGCCCTGTCTTTATGGAAAATACTTTCAGATGCTTTACAAACATTGTGTCCTACAAGCACATTTTCTAGTGAGCATTTTTATAAAATCCTATCATTGAAGATGAGTAGGAAAGATGGAAATAGGTAGAGGAGAGAGAAAACAATGAAGGTGATGAGGAAAAGGCACACAAATCTTAATAAGAGCCGTCAGTTCCCAGCAGTTATTAGTTCTCATCCATTGCTATCCACTACAGCAAATGAAGGACAGTGGAACTTGGTGTGCTGCAGTCCATGGGGTTGCAAGGAGTGGGATATGATTTAGTGACTGAACAACAACAAGATCCCCTACATATGAACCTTCAAGTTGTGAAATTTCAAAGATGTGACATGCATTTGCATGTCTAATCATGTAAGTTAGTTCACATGTCTGGTGTACAGGGTCGTGTGTGTGCATCCTCCACAAGTGGTTGGGCTTTTGTGCACTTTTGGTGTTGTTTTCTAGTTGCTAAGTCATGTCCAATTGTCTGCAACCCCATGGACTGTAGACTGCCAGGCTCCTCTGTCCATGGGATTTTCTAGGCAAGAATACTGGAGTGGATTGCCACTTCCTTCTCCAGGGTATCTTTCTGACCCAGGGATCGAACCCATGTCTCCTGCATTGGCAGGTGGATTCTTTATCATTGAGCCATGTGGGAAGCCACTATTTAGGAACATTAATATATAGTCACTAAGATATATCTGAATTCATATTTAGTTCTTATTCTTTTAAAACAAACAACTGTATAGTATTGTACAAAAAATAGTAGTACAATACCATCTCCCACCTTCTCTCCCTCCTCCAGACAGTACTCTTCTAGCCTGTTTGCTCAATGCCAGCTGCTGTATGCCAGCTATTGTACTGTACTACTGTACTTTTCAAGGTACTGTAAGATTAAATATGTTTCCCTTATTTTTTAGTGTTTTTTTTAAAGTATTATTTGCATGAAAAGTATAAAACTATCACTGTACAGTACTATATGACCTAGCTGGGTACCTAGGCTACCTCTGTTGGACTTACAAAAAAGTGCACTTAAGGAACGTGCTCTTGGAAGGGAACTCATTCATATGTAGGGGACTTACTGTAAAGACTTTTCCACCTGAGGCCTCCCAGTCCTAGAGGAAGATGAGGAATCTGAAGCTTAAAGGTAATCTGCCCAGAATCCAACAGCTAGTAAACTAGCGGATCTAGGAGTTGGACTCACGTCACTTGTCTCCAATGCCCTGTGTCTTAACCATTGGTCTCATACAACCCTATGAAACTTAACTTCAGCTACAGTAGATGATACTTCCATGTCCTGAACAAACACATTTGGAAATGCTCCAACCCTCAAAAGCTCTGAAGCAGACCACCCACACAGAGTTATTTCAACAACCCCAAGAAACAACTTTTGTGCCACTCAATGGAATTTTATCACGGAATGGTGCTATCCCATTCCAAAGATGGGTTGAGAAAACCAGAGGCCAAAGACACTTCAGTAGGGATGACATTTGTTTATAGAATTCACCCACACAGACCTTCTAGATGCAATTCTCACTTAAGCAGGACCAATTATGTCGTGTCTGTCAGAGGGAAATCTCTGCTTCACTAAAAGCTAAAAGTTTAATATGAGGAGGGAATTAAGGCTGGATTTTTTTCCCAAGGAATATCACTGACTTATTTCATGAATGCTTTTTTATATAAGTGACCCCAAATCCAAATCCAAAATCCAAAAATCTAAAATGAACATACTGTGTCAGTCAAAAGCATATCAGCAGTAAATATTGCCTAAGAAGAAATTAAAAATCATTTTAATTAACACTCACATAAACTAAATTTAAAATTTTAAAGATATTGCAATGGAAAATGTCAGCTATAAAAGTAACAGGAAAAATATCCTGAAAAATATGAATTCTGTAAACTACTGAGAGGTAACAGAATATGTCATCCCCAAATATGCTACTTTGGCATATAGGTAGTTTTGAACTGAAAGCAATTAAGACTCAAGAGACTTATGAAAAGCTTTTTACCTCTCCGTTAACGGCCTAAATGAAATAACTGTTCTATAGAAGGAAGTACAGGGCATCACAGCAGTACTGTCAAGTTCTTGCATTCCCAAACAACACAAAGAATATAAATCACTTCTGAAATGAAAGTTGAATTGTCTTTATTCTATGCAAAGATACTGGGGCATTCTTTAGAGAAATCTGCCCCTTGTGCTGAAATTGTCCAGTCAAAGCTCTCCATCTCATTCAGTTTTTGCACACCTTCTTGCTTCAGTTCAGTTGAGTTCAGTTGCTCAGTTGTGTCCAACTCTTTGCTACCCTATGGACTGCAGCATGCCAGGCTTCCTTGTCCTTCACCAACTCTAAGAGCCTACTCAAACTCATGTCCATCACATCAGTGATGCCATCCAACCATCTCATCCTCTATCGTCCCCTTCTCCTCCTGCCTTCAATCTTTCCCAGCAACAGGGTCTTTTCCATTGAGTCAGTTCTCATCAGGTGGCCAAAGTATTGGAGTTTCAGCTTCAGCATCAGTCCTTCCAATGAATATTCAGGACTGATTTCCTTTAGGATGGACTGGTTGAATCTCCTTGCAGTCCAAGGGACTCTCAAGAGTCTCCTCCAACACCACAGTTCAAAAGCATCAATTCTTTGGTGCTCAGCTTTCTTTATAGTCCAACTCTCACATCCATACATGACTACTGGAAAAACCATAGCTTTGACTAGATGGACCTTTGTTGACAAAGTAATGGCTCTGCTTTTTAATATGCTGTTTAGGTTGGTTATAGGTTTTCTTCCAAGGAGCAAGTGTCTTTTAATTTCATGGCTGCAGTCACCATCTGCAGTGCTTAAACGTGCCTTAATGTTGATTTAAAATATCATTAATTGTTAATATTACAATTTAAAAATATTTTCATAAGTTTCCAATCAAACTGTTATAATTCTGGACTTAGAATTTATGAAAAACAGCAACAGCATAAGAGACTGATCTCCTAGTTTCTTTGAATAGAGGCATTCAACTGTGTAAGAAGATGACCAATGTGATAGTCACTGAAGATCAGGACCAAGAACCCCTATCTTTTGTGTATGCACCTTCTGTTTGCTCTTCCTACCAAGAGTGGAGTCAACTTCCCCTTCCTTTAAATCTGGTCTTGTGACTTGCACTGAACAAAAGGATCTAGTGGAAACTTCACAGGTCTTGCAACATTTAGTTTGTTCTAGAATCCAGTTGTCAGGTTGTAAAAAGATTCTGTCCATCAAATTAGAGAGAGTAGCCACAGAGAGAGGCCTAAGAGGATGAGTTATCACAGAGAGGTTACCTGCTCTGACTCATTACTGCACAAACTTGCTTGAGTAATTCCAGCCAAAAACATAGAAGAACCAGCCAGCTGGATGTGACCCAAACTAAAGCATTTAGGGAAGCTAATGTGGTGGTTTTGTTTTAAGCCACTACATTTTGGGTGTTTTGTAATGCAGGAACAGATAATTGATACAGCCAGGTTTGTGTTGCAGAAACAGCTCAGCACCAGCATCCTAAAAAGGACTCACAAGGTACAGTTCATGCTGTTGGTGTCACTGAACTCACATATCCCTAGAATGCTTCCATACGTACATTCCAAGGCCTTGTAACATTTATGATATGTAAACTGTTTGATCTTAAGATCATATTGTTAGGCTCGATTGCTGATTCTATTAAACAATCTGGATCATGTCTCTGAGTCAAAGTAAAATATTTCTTATTAGATATTTTAAAAGCATATATGTACTTACATAACTTATGACCAAAGTGGCCCTTTTTAAGAAGGGCCTCATGGTAAGCAGGAAATTTCTATTGCTGCTTGCTGTCAGATACCTGAAACAGAAAAGAAAAAGCATATTAAATAAGTGTCAGAGTTCACTATATGTAACATTTTCTTTTCAATGTGAATAGGTTCTAGCTCAAAAGAAAGTTGGAAAAGATAGCTGCTAAGAGAATGGTTTCTGGAACAGACCACGCAGGTTTCAATCCCCAGCTCTGTTTCTGTCTGGAAGATTTTGGACAAGTTTTTTTTTTTTTAATCCCTTTGCACATCTGTTTTTTTCATTTATAAAAGAGGGGATAAGAGTAGTGTCTACTTCACAGGAAAGTTGTGAAGAATAATAAGCTGTACAATAATACAGGGAATACAACCTAGTACAGTTAGCTATAAATATTACTATCCTATCTAACCCCAAGTAACAGAAGCATTCTGGCAACTATTAATATATGATGACCCTAGTCACAGGGATGATCCTAAACAAAACAAGAGTTCATTTGCCTATTGAATGTAACTTGAGACGGACAGTGTCTTTCACCCACAAAACATCTCACAAATGTTTTACCTCTAAAAAAAGATGCTAAGGTTGTAAGAGATTAAGTAACTTATCCAAAGTAACAAAGTTATTGGGCTTTCCCAGTGGCTCAGTAGTAAAGAATCCGCCTGGCAATGCAGGAGATGCAGGTTCAATCCCTGGCTCAGGAAGATCCGCTGGAGGAGGGCATGGCAACCCACTCCAGTATTCTTGCCTGGAAATCCCATGGACAGAGGAGCCTGGCAGGCTACAGTCCATGGGGCTGCAAAAGAGTCAGACAGGACCGAGTGACTGAACAACAACAAGAGAAAAACAAAGTTATGAACATCAGCGGTCAGATCAGACCTCATGAATATGCAACGGAAAATTACTTCATGTGCCTAAGACCCTTAGAAACAAACCAGGTAATGAGAATGCCACTTCTTTGGGGCAGCAACTTGTGTGGAGCCTGCATCTGCCACTTGTACAAAGTGGAAGCACTAAATGTCCACACAGAAGACATGTGATTGGCTGGTTTTAATAAAGATGATCACAGGGAAGCAAGAGGAAGCTGTCAATAAACTTCCACAGAAAAACTTAAAACAAGTCCTTTTCACCTGCAGACAAATTTCTGCATTTTAAAATACAAACTGTAGGGAAAAAATCAAACCGCATAATCCAGCAAACATTTCCCCACCTCATCTTTATTTCTCTGGCCCTTTTTCACTTTTTTGCTTTTACTTCTTTTAGTCTAATTTTTCCTCAAAGGTATCCTCCTCAAGAATTTCTTAAAATCTGTATATGAATGTGTTATCTTCACACAGAAAGGATGTTCTACAAAAAGAAAGCTTTGTTTGTGAGACCTGAGTGGGTTCAGTCAGTCAGTCAGTTCAGTTGCTCAGTCATGTTCAACTCTTTGAGACCCCATGAATCGCAGCATGCCAGGCCTTCCTGTCCATCACCAACTCCCAGAGTTTACTCAAACTCATGTCCATCGAGTCAGTGATGCCATCCAGCCATCTCATCCTCTGTCGGCCCCTTCTCCTCCTGCCCCCAATCCCTCCCAGCATCAGGGTCTTTTCCAATGAGTCAACTCTTCGCATGAGGTGGCCAAAGTACTGGAGTTTCAGTTTCAGCATCAGTCCTTCCAGTGAACACCCAGGACTGATCTCCTTATAGGATGGACTGGCTGGATCTCCTTGCAGTCCAAGGGACTCTCAAGAGTCTTCTCCAACACCACAGTTCAAAAGCATCAATTCTTCGGTGCTCAGCTTTCTTTATAGTCCAACTCTCACATCCATACATGACCACTGGAAAAACCAGCCTTGACTATAGATGGACCTTTGTTGGCAAAGTAATGTCTCTGCTTTTTAATATGCTATCTAGGTTGGTCAGTATCTCACACAAAAATGTCTAACTTGAACTCCTTACTAAATACATGTGCTTCCCATTTTGTAACAGCTAAATGTGTTCAAGTGGCTCTGTAAGGAGAAAACAGTATCACTCCAAGGCAGATCCCTTCCTTTCTGCTTTCCCTTTCTTTTTCCAAAAAGCAATTCACAGTCACCTTTTAGCAAGCTTTGGACTGGATGCACCCCCAAGCATGACGTTTGAATCCTTTGTTTTCCCTTAGCCCTCAAGAGAGAGTCGGCGAGGAGGAAGGTCAGGGATACTGTCAGCTTTCATGACATTGGTGATCTCTTCCACCCTAAAATGGGCTTGAGAGAGTCCATCACCTCCTGAAACTGTACACGAGATTTCATGTATGTTTGCATCTGTGCATTTCTCTGAAGCAAAGTCCTTGGCTTTGATCTTCAGTGTCAGCTCAGGTCTGTGATCCCAAAACGGTTAAAACACTGCTCTGGGCCTTTCCTTAGTTTTGCCTTTACCATCACTATCATTTTCGGACCAATTCAACAAAGACCAACTGTGGACATTTCCACTATTCCTTGACGGGATGTGGATAATTGGCAACAGGAAGACAAAGGGAATGGCAGTGTGGGAAGGAAAAGGGCTGGAGTGGCAACACATCTGGATAAAAAGCCCTTCTTGGATTGGCCTGTTTTTAGAAACTACACTTCTCAGGTTCCCCCTGTTGCTTGTTTATTTTAACACAGTGGAAAAATTAGGAGCGGTTTCCTCTCTATAAAACAAATCATAGGGTTTTAGAAGTCAAACTTAGGTAATTGGTATTTTGTTTCACTGAAAGCTCAATATGATGGCTAGTTCAGTGAGATATATTTAAAAGAGCCCTTTGTTTGGAAATTCTTCCTCCATGAAAAACTCTTATTTCCGTAAAAAAGTACCAAATAATTTACTCTTAAAATGTAACAAAGCCTAGGATGATACAGAGGACAGTAGTTGGAAAAAAATGACCTTTCAAGACCTCCGTTTCCAGCTGTTGACCAAAACTAAACGAGAAAATGAGCCAAAATGACATGGTCCTCCTTTTTGGTAAACACTAGGTCAGAGGCTGAGATTCCTAAGTTCATACAGAGAGCTGAATTTTCTGCAACTCCTTTCCCTCTCCTTCCTACTATAAAAATTGGAGTAGAGTTTTTCCTCCTTAGTCCACAACACCTGTGAATTAGAACCAAACTACAACAAATAGTAGCAATAGTAAAAATAGTAAAAAATATGTCAGACACAAATATAAGTGAAATAAATGTACTAATCCCTTTACAATTTCTTTGTAATTTCAACAATTCCTTGAGGAAGAACATTATAACTCCTTTTCAATAGAGGAAGATACTGAAAAATTAGAACTAATACTTAACCATAATATCAGATTACCTCAGCTACTCATTTCAATCACAGGCTAATATAGCTGAGTGTACCTTACAAACACAAAGAACTATGCAAATGTCATCATTGATAATTTTCAACTTCACTTAAATTCTCCACTATTTTCCCTGCAAAGCCAGAGAACATGCCAACAACAAAACTGAACCACTGAGGAAACCACTAAAATAGAAGCAAGAGTCCAAGATTCTATCCCTGTGATTCCAGCTAATCTCTCACATTCAGTTCAGTTCAGTCACTCAGTCATGTCCGACTCTTTGCGACCCCATGAATCGCAGCATGCCAGGCCTCCCTGTCCATCACCAAATCCCGGAGTTTACTCAAACCCAAGCCCATCGAGTCAGTGATGCCATCCAGCCATCTCATCCTCTGTCGGCCCCTTCTCCTCCTGCCCCCAATCCCTCACAACATCAGGGTCTTTTCCAATGAGTCAACTCTTCGCATGAGGTGGCCAAAGTATTGGAGTTTCAGCTTCAGCATCAGTCCTTCCAATGAACACCCAGGACTGATCTCCTTCAGGATGGACTGGCTGGATCTCCTTGCAGTCCAAGGGACTCTCAAGAGTCTTCTCCAACACCACAGTTCAAAAGCATCAATTCTTCAGCACTCAGCTTTCTTCACAGTCCAACTCTCACATCCATACATGACCACTGGAAAAACCATAGCCTTGACCAGACGGACCTTTGTTGGCAAAGTAGTTGGTACAAATCTACAGGGGTTTCATTTCCTTCCTACATCAGTGATAGTTGACTAAATGGTTTCAAGGTCCCTTTCAGGTCTAAAATGCTATGATCCTTGGATGTTCTCACCAACAGATGACATCAAAGATGACAACTAAAGAAAAACAGAAAAATTACTGAAAAATTTTAAAAGGAACACCAAGTGATAAAAGTGAAACAAATATTAAGGTGGGGCAAAAAGATGATTGCTTCACTTTTAGGTAGACCTTTGATAATTTGCTGTTGCACATTAAAAAAATACATTAACATTAGTCAGGGGTAGTAGCATTATCAAGTTCTGTATTTTTAACAATTTCTGATATTAGGAAAATAAAAGCAAAAGATCAAAACTATCCAAAATAAATGTTCTAAACTGTGCTCCCCACGCCCTAATTTTTCCGACTGCAAACTTACTAACTACTAACATCTACCTCCCTAGTTAATCATGTTCAAATATTCATAGCTAAATGGGTCTTCTTCCTGAAGTTACCCTCCATAGCTACTCAGTCCTCAAATCCCACTGAGAGATCTCAGCTGAGACCAGGACAACCAGCCATCCAAAGCTGTGAGAGGCTTTTTTTTTTTTTTTTAGGAAAGGGCTCTTTGCAGGAAATATCTGTCTGCAGGAGGTCCTTTTGTCTTGTCACTTTAGCAAAGCTATATTTTAACTAAACTCTGGCCCTAAAATACCTTTCAAATTTTTGATCACAGAATACTTTGCCTAATCTGTTGGTTCTTTCCTTAGATCAAAGAAATAGAAATGAATAATATGTAACTAACAGATGACAGATCTCTTCCCCAGCCTCCCCTTCAGGACTCTCACAAATAAACTGTGAGAATAAGATAGCATCTAAAAAAAGATCACAGGGGGGATTGGGATGGGGAATACATGTAAATCCATGGCTGATTCATGTCAATGTATGGCAAAAACCACTACAATATTGTAAAGTAATTAGCCTCCAACTAATAAAAATAAATGGAAAAGAAATAAAATAAAAAAAGATCACACGAGTGGACAAGCCTGCACACAGTGGGGGATGGTGATGACTCTAACCACCTGTCTCAATGATCAACTGAGATTACTTCCCCTTTTTCCCTTGAAAGTCTTTCATAGCCACACAGAAACTTCATAGATGGTTTTGGGACACTAGTCCACCTTTCTTCCAGATTGCCAGTTGTTTGATCAGAGCAACTATTTCCCTTCTAACAGCACTCATTCCTTGTATCCAGATCTGAGTTTGGTAACAAAGTAACCAATCCATAAACTTGAGGGTAAAATGAATGCTTATTAT